ATGGTCCAACCAATGTAAGGCCGTCCTGGTACATTTGGAGATTATGATGACGACGGCGTTGATGACCCACTGAAGACGCAAACAGACAGGATGCCATCTCCGAACCTTTCTTGAGCGTCATCAAATTTTTTTGTTGTTAAGTTGGTAGTCTTGGCATCTTGGCATCTGCTCTTTCCAAAACATCGCAGGCCGCGGAACCCAAGCAATTTCAGTATGCTGTTCCACTGGGCAAACAGATTGCTCGACCGCTTTGAGATACTTGGCATTTCATGTTGGAACTGTTTTGATTTTTGCTTTTGACCTCTCGATCATGGCAAGGGTTGGAAAAATCGACATAATGTTTCATTTGCAAATATTGGGCACATCTTCCCAGGATTCTATTTGGAGCTGACTTTGTCCAAAAAGAGATGCTCACCGCACGCATCCGCTTTGATAGTTTCTTCACTGGCGTGGACTTTCCCCATGCGGCCTTGGAAGCTATCAAGAGTGCTGTGCGGCGACGGACTCTAGATTTGTGTTGCGCCTTTTTGTTGTTGTGCCATTTGTTCACTTGTTCATCTTTAGAGGGCACCTTGATCGACTACAGGGTTGATTGATCTTAAGAAAGGGATCCAGATACTAACCGAACCCACAGATGGCAAACATCCAAGGTATGGTCAAGAACCTGATTTCAAGACTGGCCGAGCTTGTGACATCTCCAAAGCATCTCAAAAGCTTCTATGCTTTCTTGCTATGTTGTTTGATTGTTTTATCTATTTTTGTTTATGCTATGTTGTTATGTTGTTTGTTGTTTTCATTGTTGCGCGCTTGTTCGTGTCTTACACTTGCTCCCGGGCAAGGTTCATCCAACAGAACTTTCCTGATCGCTGCATCTTCAACAACATCTTGAAGTTTGTGAAGAACCCGGAAGTTGAACAAAACAAGCTGCGCCTAGTTTCTTGGAAGGGAAGTTAGTTGTGTGTGTTTTTTTGTGGGGTATGCGCTTCTGCTTTTTTGACTTTGGGCAGGGACACCAACAGCAATCAGGTTGACCATGTGCCGTGCAAAGTCCATGAGAAAGAGTGTCCTCGCAAACAAGCAGTTGAGTCTGGCGTTGTTCGCTCTAGCATTGAAGGACCTCCATGCATCTTGTTTTCAACGCCGCTTCGGTTTTGAATTCAGAATCGGAAAGTTTTCTGGTGAACACAGTTAAAGCGAACCCGGTGGGCTTAGGTTTTTGAAACCCAAACGCGCAATGACAAGGATGGGAAAGCAGGAAGGCATGTCGAATAAGATCAAGCGACGAGTTCATGAGGTCTACTTGAAAGACAAAAAGGATCAGAAGTTTTTTGTCTGCATCTTTGCAATGCTTTTAGCCTATTCCGAAATCAAGTCTTTTCCAAAAGCATGCGTTGCCCAAAGATGTGGGAGCTTTACAACTGTAAGGCTGGATTGGTTCGTGCATGAGAATGTGCTCCGATATCCTCGAGAATTCCTGGAGCCTGCTCTTCGGGACCAATACAATGTGGGGTTCACATCTATCAGCCCACAGAGGTTTGGAAAGCCGATGAGCAGGTCCGAGTTGAGATCAGGTCGTTGCAACTAAAGAGTATGTTTTAAAAAAACATGGGAGCTCAGTGCTAAGACCTCAAACCATGCTGACCAGGCCTCGCGCATACCGAATTTTCTACAACAAGAAGAAGTATACATGGGCTGGCCCACGTTTGCGCGCACTGCTAAAGTTGATTGCCCCACATCAGAAACTCGAGATGAATGCTGACGATTGCTACTTCATGAGCAAGAAGCAGCTGGTTTCTAAGCTGACATGGCCAACAATTTCAGTTTGTTTTGGGACTACCTGGTTTTAGACACCAGATCAGAACACTTTCTTGACAAAGTGACTTGATCATGTCAGGAGGCAGAGTGTGGCCGCTCTGACAACTTCGCCCTGCGCTTGGCAAGTTCAGCTGCCGAGTTCAAAATCACCTATGAGCAGTCTTGCCCCGGCCGATTGATTTTTGAATCTTGGCAACGTTATGTTCTAAAGTTTTGCCCCAATTATTTGGCTTTGAAGATTGTTGTCCTTAATGTCTGCCTCCTCAGTGCTCTACCCTGGACGCTAGGACTTGTCGCAAAACCCATCAGCAAATGTCAAGCGTGGGCGGGTGAGTGGAAAGAATGGTGAGTTCCCAACCTTCACAACGTCCAGTGCCTTGTTGCCTCTTGACCAGATCTCTTTTGCTGAAGTTTTGTGTTTTGTGTCAATCTGTTTGTGTGTCTAGTTATATAGTAGAATTTTCCTTGATTCTACCACCCTCATATTTGTAGGTGGAGCGCTCGCCATGCTCGACCTCTCATGGGCTCTGAGATGCTGGCGGTCATGGGAATCCCCACTACACCAGAGTTGGCCAGGTCATCGGGTGTGCCAGCCACTGACTTGCAGGGCTTGAGCAACAGCGCCAAGGCCAGTAGATCTCCAAATGGTTTCTTTTCTTGGACCTTGCTGTCAAGGCCAAGCTAGCGGGCAATGGGATGGATGTTCCATCTGTGGGCTTTGTCCTGATGGCGGTGGGTCTGGCCTTGTTGTTATCGTTTCTCACTTGCTTCCTGTTTACCTCACCCCAGATGCCAGGCTATGATTTGCCTCGAAGAAAAGACCAAAACAGAGGACTGATTGTATAGTTTGACATTGCAAGTTGTTTCTACTTTCTCTTGCGTAGCAAACGATCCACAAGCAGGATGAACCAACCACTCCATCGAGGAAAAAATCCAGGAGAGGTCACCCCCTCAGCTTTTGTGGCAGCCAGAAGCAACCTGCAAGGTTTGCTCAGAAGTGTCGTCGATATTTTCTCACCCTTACTTGCCAGATTCAAGCCATTGAGAGAGGGTATTCAGCAAAACAAGTGGGATAAAGTGGCAAAGGCCAACGCCAATATAACTATTCTTTAAGACTGATCCACACACTACTTCCAAGAAATCATAAATTAGGGAAAGATTGGAAATCAACAACCCCCCATCAAATCTTATGCCATAGAGCTGTTCGCTTGACCATGGTGGTCTTCAGATGCCTTTGGCCACACTCTTTCAAGATGAAGCTGATGAAGAAGATGCACCGTCATTGTTTCAACAAGAGCGAGATGATGGTGGCGGATTTTTTCCACTTCAGGATGAACCTGATGAACCGGATGAACCGCCAACTGCTATTCCAGCGCCTGCTGCAGCATTCTTGTTCCAAGATGAAGTAGATGACGCAGACTCTGATTCTTCATCATGTCTGGGGGATGATGAACACGAAGGAGAAAAGAGTTCCAACACACAACTTGTTCAGCTCAGCTTTGCTACATTGACACGGTTTATGGAGAGCCAACTTTGCAATGCTAGTGGTAAGTCCACTCCTGCTCCAGTTGTGAAAAAGAGACACTATAACAATGAACGACGGGCAGCCAAAGCTGAAGCATCAAAACGACTGCGATCAATGGCATCGAGTACCACTCACCGAATTCCAAGAAATGACCCAGCAACTTTGGTTTGACTAGACTTATATAACTATTTTTGGGTGGCTAGCTTGTGTTGTGTTAGGTTCATTTCTGGCTTTCTGTCCATCAGCCATTTCCAGCACACATGAGGATCGACTGATGAAGCTACTGCGTGGAGCTTGCAAATGTTCAGAGGGCAAATGCTACACGCAGTTTTCCTTTAACGAGATCAAAGCGTTCATGGATTCATTCCAGACGCGGACCAAGGTGGAGCAAGACTCAATTCTGCTGATGGCTTGGACTGATGCATCTGGTTCAGTCAGAGGTAAAGAAAGGACCCGCCGTGAGTACTACTTGTTGGACAAATACATGAAACGGGTATGTTTCGAGGGATTGTTGGGGCTGTCCTCGCATAGAATTGACAAAATTGGGGCAGTGGATTTACGCTATGGGAAGCAAGAAATGCGACCATCCCAGTTCACTGCTTCGATTGATGCCTTCTGCCTGATCCTGTACAATTCTTTGGCTGAGCCTTTGCCAAACAAGCTCCTTGAAGATGCTTTAGCTGTTTTTTAACAACAACAACAACAACAACAACAACAACAACAACAAACCATACCTTTAAGCAAAACACGTTCACTCTACAACCCTGCCCATCTTTTAAGGTTGGTGAGAGTCGGGCCTGCAAAAGCCTGGAGCAAATACCAGTCCACAGGTACAGATGCCGAAGATGAAGCTTCAAACGATGATCATTGGTGTGGATCTGATTTTGAAGAGAACGACCATGAGTTGACAGAGTACTTGGAAGCCAACACCAACTTTGTTATGGCCATGCAAGCAACTGCAGCCTTCTCTGCATCTCAGCACGTAAAGTGGAATTGTTGTTGTCTTTGTTTGCTGTTAGTTTTTTTGCTCCTTTCTTACCAACTCCTTAGCCAACATTGTTGAACAAACTCAGGACCTTTCCGGAATGGTCAGAAAGTACTTGCCACCAGGAACGTTGTATGAATTGTTCCAATTTTACTCTGGTTGGTGCGACGCCCACAATGTCCAGGACAAAGCCTCGTGCCTGGGTCCTTTTCTTGAAATTAATCCTTTTGTTTTTCCTTGTTGTCCTTTGTTTTTATTGTTCTCCTTGTTTTTCTATGGGGGCACCTGGCTGGGGCAAGGTATGCTACCTTCTTGCGGCGGTGGAACGCCAAATGGACACTCATTCTCAAGTTCCGCGAACGCAGCATGTTTTCACAGTGCGATGTGTGTCAGGAATTGAAGCAGCAGTTCCTCGGAGTAATGTGTAGATTTTGAGAAACCTCTACGAATTGAACCCAATTTTTTCAGGTTTCCCACATTTAACCTCTAAGAATTTTGATTTTGGGTCAATGGTGATGTTTGTCAAACAAGGTTCCAAGACCGCTCGTTGGACATGGGCCTTCTGCCAGTGGGCAAGCCGCATCTTGAACTTGAACCCGGATTACAGTACCTTGGCAAAACACATCCCTTTTTTCATGTCGTTGATTTCCCTCCACAGCTGAACATGTGAAAGGCATGGTCCTTGCGATATGTCCAGTTTTGGCTGGAGATGGAATCCTGAATGGTCTGCGCGGAGAAGCAAGGCCATCTATGGCTGAATAACATGTGTTGGTTTGGCTAAAGTTTCACGGGCTGAAATGGTATGAGATGGTATATGCTTCAGACCCCCTGAGGCGCATAGAAGACAAGTTCACCAATGCTGGGATGGAACTCAAGAACGTGAGCATTTGCTTTGACACCAGTGGGTGTCATGGGAACCGGACCGCATATGTGAACATTGTTGCTTGCGCTATTCACTGTTTATCTCAATGCTAATGATCGATGTTCATTGTCTATGGTGTTCATTGTGTGTGTTTGTTCATTCTTTCCCCGGGGTGTCCCTGCAAGGACATTCCCTTTGATGCTGCCTGCTAGGCAAATCATGTTGCGCAATACATTGGGGTGTCGACAAGGTACCTTGTACAAGGCTCCGCGAAACAGCGATGTGAAGCTTCAAGATGACAATGTTTTCTGCAAGTCTGACTTCTGGAACCTCAATGCATCAAAGCCTTCACGGCCGCTAGCATTGGGTGAACTGGCTTACACTCTGGTTAAGCTTTTGATTTACTCGAATGCAAGTCTAAGGTTTCCATCCCAGCGTATGCTGAATGTTTTGCGATCTTTACGTTGACCCAAGCCAAGGAGACTATTGCACCCCGGAAAGTGGCACCTTTTTCAGTCATGAACAGGGGCGTTCACTGACCGAAGCTTGTTTTGTCCAGTTCATTTTGGAGGGGTATGAAGCGTGGTTTCTGAATTTGAACAAATCACATAGAAGATCTGGACATTCACATCCCAGGACAAAGAAGAAACGGGCCAGTGGTTCAGCTCGGAATCAACAATCCGGGCTATGTTGGAAGCCGCAATGGGCAAAGTCAGTAGCATGAAGGGGCAGGCCTGCATAGTGCATCACCGGTCCACATACGAGGGCAATGTGGAGAAGGTGGGATGATTCAACATAGGTTGGGTTTGCTTGTATTTTTGATGGTGGGAAAAGATTCAATTGTGGATTGCGTTGCAAGTAAATTGATCGGTGGTAGTTTTAATGTTGGTATCATTTTGGTTCATTGGTTGTTTTGATGTGGGAATCAGATTCAGACTGAGTTGTTGAGGTGGTTTGCGACATGATGTCCGAGTTGCAGTCAGAGGCATATTTGGCATGCTATTCAGAGTGCTTCAACCCGACCATCTTCAACTTTGCAGTGACACAGGTCAAGGACAAACTGGTGGAGGACAGGGGTTTTGAAAACTCATGAAAGGAGACTTGTTCATTATCATGTAATTGAGGAAACGCATCCTTCTGATGAGGAGTGGAAGACCGGGACTGGGCTAATGGGCAGCATGGCACCGAAGTTCCAAAAGGAACCAGACCTTTCAGATGTCATGGAGCCAAGACTTCCAGTGATGAAGTTGTGCAAATTGAGTCCCTCTGGTCACCTTGAGATTCCCCGCGACGTTCGAGACAAATGGTTGGGCGACCCGGTCAGGAGAAACTTGTTCCCAAACAGAAAGTCCCTTTATATTTGCATTTTTTGAGGTGGTAGTGAAGTGGCGTTTTTTTATCTTATTTGTGATGTTTCTTTGCCCACTCAGATCCTGATTGGCGTGTTCGATTGAAGAATTTTGATTCCATCTTCGCAGAGTCTTCAAGGGATGCAGCAGAAATCCAAGTACCAACTGCTGCTGATGCCGAGCGAGATTTGGGGGAAGCTCCAGCGGAGCCAGTGGAGACGCCAGATGCCAGTACAACCTGTGAGCCACCTTCCATGACTGCCGCTGAGTTCAGGACTAAGTACCCAGAAAGCGCAAGTCCTTTGGTGGTGACATTGAATTTGGGCCCTGGTCAGCCCGTCACTTGTACGTTTGTGGATGGCAAAGTTTATTTGAGCTCGACAGCGAACACACGTATCCTCGGTGCTTGCACGGCCAATGCCCGACCGCTGTTCCTATATTCCGGAGGGACATGGATCTCTGACTCAGCAAAGGCAGATGTTTTTGGGTCAATCTAGGTTCCCAACATGTATTGTTTGTGGAATCTTCATCCTTGTCACCCTGTAGGCAAGGGACTTCATGTCGAAGGAGGCCAATGCAAACAAGGCAGTTGAGTTCAATTTGTCCAGCTCAAATGAACGTGTCACTCAACTTTGAAATTACTTCTTGGGTTGTTTATGTATTGATTTCCTTTTTGAACACATCATTTAGAGACTTACAGTTTCTTATCATCTTCCACTCAGGTGGTATTGGAGGAACAGACTTCCACAGGTCTCCAGGATGTTGGGCCGATGTCGGTCTATCAGCTCCTTGTCTCCTTCGAGAAGCGAGGCCATTTGGATCTGAAATTGACCGGACACCAATGCGAGCGTCCACCAGAAGTTCAGCGAGGTGAAAGAAGTGATGCCATCAATGTGACTCAGGTGGAGCATTCGGTTTTCAAACCAAACGCTGTTTTGCCCGCAAAAGCAAAAGGGACCAACATTGCTGGTGTGATCGGTGTGAAGTGCCTGGCAGCCTCGGAATTTTTGGTTCTGCTATGGCGATCCTTGGGTTGTGATTTGATATGTTTTATTGGTGTGTCGGAACCTTCAAGTTTGGGACATTCAAATGGTTTTTCAGTATTTCAAGATTTTCTTCCTACTGGTCCTTTTCCTTTCCAAAGGCATCCGCCACTATTCACGTGAGAAAGTACTGGGGCCTGCGAAGCCTCTTTGGTTTGCCCGCGCTGATATCGTGCTACGTGCAGACCACTACTACCAGGTGGCATAGATGACCATCAAGATGCCAAGCTGAGCAATGGTTTTGGGGAGCTCTGTGCACAATGAATGCAGAGCGAAGATTTTGCCCATTGCGAACTGCAGCGGCGAATGTCATTTTGACGATGCTTGAAGCTGACACACGCAAAGTCATTTGTGGAAAAACTGTTTGCGCACGAGCAGTCATGAATTAAGGAGAAGACTTGGAATGCCAAAACGTAAAATACATTCACACACTCTTGCAATATGCAGGGGATTGCAGGTGTGTTTTGACAAACTGCTCATTTAGAAGCCATCTTTGTTCTTAGTGTTTGCTTTTGTTTGTGTGTTCCTTACTCCAGCCATGTCGTCGCAACCAGATGTTGTTGATCTGGTGGGTTTGGACTCAAGATCCGTTGCCAAGTCGGAGTTGCTTTCAAAGCATTTGGGCAACATTGGTGGCAGCTCCCGCCTGAACCCTTGTTTTGATCGGGCTTTCGAGGTCATGACCTGCCGCGACAAACAACAAGAGCCTGCAGAGACGAGGAGATTCACGTCGAAAGTTGCAGAAGTACCAATTCCTATGACATTCCAAGTGAGTGCAGACTTGCAGAAGTTCATGGTCAAAAAAGACAGTGCTGCTGAGACTTGGCTTTGTCAAAGTGTCACCTTTGGTTTTTTAAACGTTGACCTGACCTGAATTGTACATGCTGACAGTAATCCGACATTGCCAACTCAGGGAATGGCCATGCCTGTGGAAAGTGTGGCTCGGCCATTAGGCACTCGCAATGATCCAACAGCAAGGCAATTGTTTCAGGATGGATATGAGCAGTCGTTCCAAGATGATGCTCCTTGAACCTTACTTTGGCATTCCAGTGTTGTTGCTGTTTTCTGTGTTTGTTCATGGTGTAGTGATGTTGTAATGCCTTTGAACTGCCTTTGCATTGCATTGAACTAAGGTGAACCAAACACAGATCTTTCCAGATCTCTTCGACTACGAAAAGGAACTGCAACAGCTGTGTATGGATGAACCCTCGCCCGATGCAATGCTTGTGGGCCGAAGCAGGCCTGAGGGTTCATCAGCACCTGCTGCCAAGCCTGGATTGTTTGACGGAGAAGCTTTGCAGAAGAGTTCATCAGCACCTGCTGCCAAGCCTGAGGATCAGGAGAGTTCACCAGCACCTCCTGCTCAGCCTGGATTGGTCGAGGAAACTTTGCGCGAGAGTTCATCAGCACCTGCTGGATTGGTTGAGGAGGATCCTGGCAGAGAAGAATTGCAGGAGAGACTGGGGATTATTTGGGGCGGGTTTGGGATGGAGATCTGGGGGTTGGGGTTGCTGTGAAGGAATGGGGGCCTGGATTTTGGTTATTTCAGTTTTACCATTGGTTGATCCCTGAAAGGACGACAATGGTAGTGAGGTCCGAGATGCAGGTGGAGATGCGGATTGCCAGAAGTACAAATACCGTGGGGTCGTTCTCCGTCCTGACATGGATCCAGAGATGGTGGCCGAGATTTTGGCTGAACGTGCTCAACGGAAACGTGACAACTCCACTGTTTGGCATGCCAATTATGCTTCCAAAGGAGTAGCTTGATTTTCTATTTTGCTACTGTCGTCAGTCTCTCGGTTTCCCCACACTCTATTGGGGTTCATTCTTTTGGTTAGGTATCGCGAATATGTTTACCAATTTTTTGGGTCAGGTACCTCGGAAGAAGGCCAAGTCTGAGCCCGATTTGGACACACCCGCAGAAAAACCGAGTGCCAGTTCAAGTTTCAAGAAGACTGCCATGCATGAGGCCCGCTGGAACTTTGTACCTCAGGCACTGTTCAGATAATATGTCATTTGATGTCTTTTGGTGGTGGTGGTGGTGGTGGTGGCGGCCTGTTTTTTTGGTTGTAGTTACTGTTGCTGTTGCAGTTGAAAATTAATGGTTTGTTCACTCGTTGCATCCTTCTGCACTCCAGGTTCGCAAGTTCTTCGATGACAAGAAGGGCAATATGAAAGAAGCTTCAAAAGCTTGGATGGAGTCTGAAGAGAGAGCTTCGCTGATGGCTGCTCGCGCGGGGGTTCAGAAGTAATCCCAATTTTGTTGGTCCCGGTTGTGTTCTTGGGCACAACTTTTTGGGCATAGGGGTAATATGCCTGGTGTACGTGAAATCGTGCACAAATCCAAATCGCGGCGATGCGATTGGGTGTGGAAAAACAATGCCAGATCAACTGGCACTTCTCTAACAAAGGGGCAAATAAGTCCACTAGTAGGTTCAACTGTGGTTTGCACCGTTTAGAGTTCATAACTGCCACACAAATGTATTTTGGCTACAAAGTTGCAGTGATAGATTATCCTTGTTCGCAAATGCCGCCTTGTGACAAGAAGTTGGAGATCCAGCGCGGACTTGAAATCGCTGCTTGTGAGAGATTGTGTTTATCTTGTTGGATGGGTCCTACAATGGAGTGGCTACAAAGGCCAAGTGTTTGGGGTTGTCAAAATGTTTTGTTTGCACCAATCCTTTCGTTGGTTGCTACTGCAAAAACCATTGCAGGATGGACCATGGCCAACTTTTGGTAATTTGTGGCGATTGCAAGTGTGAACAGCTGAGCTGGGAAGAATACACCCGCAAATTTGGAAAGCCAAATGGGGCACCAGCGGCACCAACTGAACAGTAGCTGGTGCGTTCTGGAACGTGTGTTTACACATGGGGTGCGCGTGAGCAAAAAAAATCTATGTGATCGTTTGAACACCTCCGGCTGAAAACAAACATGAAAGTTTGTCAGTCAAAATTAGTGTCCAAGTACAAATACGCATGCGTGTATGTATGTGATGGTATGTATACAAAACCACATGTTTTCATGTTTGGAAATTCACACCTACACCTTGCAATCTATGGCATTGACTGCTTTGCACTTTGACTTGCAATCTGTGGCATTGACTGCTTTCTTCTTTGACTTGCAATCTAAGCCATTGACTGGCTTTGACTTGCAATCTGTGGCATTGACTGCTTTCTGCTTTGACTTGCAATCTAAGCCTTTGACTTGCGCTCTGTGGCTTTGACTTGTGATCTTGCTATTGGCCACACACCCACATGTTAACAGCTAGTTCTTTTGAATTGACAGCCACTTGCCATGAAACTAACTTCTTTTTGAGGGGAAGCAAGCAAGATTCAAGAATCCTTGGCATTGAGCCGCCAATCGAAATGCGCCGGAGTCTTGGTCTTCGAGAGGATGAGGCCTGTGAGCTATTGAAAGGCGCCTATGGTTTGGTCAATGCACCATTGTTGTGGTACATAGAACTTCGAAATGCCTTGATCGCATTGGGTTTCCAAGTATCACCACTGGACCCCTGCCTGTTTGTGTTACCAAAAGACAACACCAAGAAGAATACGGAAGACCCGTGCCAAATTCATGGAATCCTTGGAATCCATGTAGATGATGGGATTGGGGGTGGGAATGAGATCTTTAACCAAACCATTGATCGACTCGAAAAGATATTTCCGTTTGGCAGTAAAAAGAACCAAAAGTTCACATTCACTGGAATCCAAGTGAGCCAAGAAAGTAATGGGGAGATCCGACTGAACCAGACAGAATACATCCGGGATATTCCACCCACCGAAATTCCCAGAGAACGAAGAAAAGAACAGAAAGGACCAGCAAGCCAACAGGAAATCCAAAGTCTTCGTGGTCTTATAGGGAGTCTTCAATATGCAGCAACAACACAAGACCTGATATCTCGTGTAGATTAAGTCTCCTCCGGGCAAAAATCCCGAATGCCACGATTGAAGACCTGATGACAGCCAACCGACTGCTCGACGATGCCAAAAGGCATGCCCATGTCCAAATCAGGATCCAGCCACTTGCACCTGCAGACGTCAGGTTCCTGTCCTTCTCAGATGCCGCGTTTGCCACTCGTGAAAGAGCACACTCCCAGCGGGGTACATTCATTTTAGCCACGACCCCCACAGTCGAAGAAGCTAAGGGATCACAAGTAAGTCCACTAATCTGGAGTTCGCGCAAGATCAACAGAGTAGTGTCAAGCACCCTTGCATCCGAGACGTATGCACTTTCCGGAGCACTCGACCAGCTGAGTTGGATAAGAATTCTATGGAGTTGGCTGTTGAATCCACAAGTGGATTGGCGTAAGCTTGCAGAGACCCTGACAAACTTGCCCTCGGCCTACACGGTTGTAGATTGCAAGAGCCTGTATGACCTTCTCCAGAAAACCGCAGTACCATCATGTTCCGAATATAGAACGTTGCTTGAGGCTTTGGTAATTAAAGACCGGTTAAAGGAGGGGATATTAATTAAATGGGTACATAGTGCAGCACAGATGGCAGATGCTTTAACGAAGGATATGGATACATCAATACTCCGGACCTTTCTGGACCAAGGCCGTTGTTTGTTAAGAGATGTTGATGAAGTCCTCAAGCAGCGTTCCGACAAAAGACTTAGGCAAGCTTGGATGCAAACAGCCACGGCAGCGGAAACCCATTGCTGCCAATGTGGTGGGGAAAGTAATCTGTTGGATTACAAATGTGATCAACCAAGCCCTGCTCAGAGCATCTCGAACCTTTTCTGAGCCACTTGCATGCAAAGTTCATAAACAATGAACAAAAGATATTTTTTAGGAGTGTTGATTTGTGAAATCACCTGCCGTCGGTTCGTATGCAGTCCACTTGAGGGTCACGCATTCGTTGAATGCTTTGCCGGAAGGCTCAAAGTCAGGGGGCTTTTCGGAGCGGGGGCGTGGACGCCATAGGAGCTTCGAAGGTTGGTCGTGGACGACCGTGGAAGACAAGCTTGGTCGTGGACGACCATAGGTGTGCGTGGAAAAGAGATCGTGCGCCAGTGAGCGCTTGGTGGAGTTTGGGAGGAGGAGTGGAGGCCAGGGGCCCGCACCAGTGTGTGCAATACACAATGGATATATACATATATATATATATACATATGTATAATCCCCATGCCAGGGGGATTCACCCAAAATTTTGACTTCTGATTTATAAATGGCCCGTGAATACAACTATGTTTCAAAAACACTTTATA